GCCACGGGATGGATGGTCTGCTACGCCATGCGGCGTAAGTCGGAGGCGCTGGCGGTCGTCAAGCGCATGGTCGTGGATGCCGCCCACAAGGCTGGTACCGCGATCAAGTGCATCCGCTGCGACTGCGATGCCCTCTGGACCAGCAGCGACTTCAAGGAGTTCTGTGCCAGCATGGGAATTGCGCTCGAGTAGTCCCCTCCCGGAGTGCGGCAGTACAACGGCGTCGTCGAGAGTGCCATCCAGAGGTACCTCAAGGTGGCCAAGGCATCCCGCCGGGCCGCGCAGGAGCTGCTTGGCCCCGCAGGATTTTCTCGTGTCCGCGGGCTGAGTGTTCGTGGCGATGAGCTCTAGGCGGAGTCCGCAAAAGACGCCGCGCAGAAGCTGAACCAGTCAGCATCTCCTTCCAACCCCGGGGGTGCGTCGCCGCAGGATGTCTACACCGGCAAGGGAGGCCCTTTTCGCTTGATCCCGTTCTTCCAGTAAAATTTCATGTGGGAGCGGCCGGCGACGAAAATGGACGACAGGGCTGGGAGGTGTTTTTTCCTCAACGCCGGGGACAACCACGCCGACGTCACGGAAAAGGTGCTCAAGGAGAGAACCGGCCACGTGTGCTACACCTCTAATGTAGCGTGGGCGGCGCTCCCGCCGTCCGGGGGGGAGGGGGGGGTGCAATGCTTCACCAACCCCCTCCGCGGGGACTCTACCCACGCCCCAGCATCTACCCTTCGAGATCGTCGCTTCGCCGCCGCCGCCGCCGCCTTCGGGGCCCGCGTTGTGGCCCGCGCCTTCGCCTGGTGCTGCCGCTCCGCCGCTCCCGAGGCCGCCCGCGCCATCGACATCCGTCGCTCCACCGCCGCCCGCTGCCGCTGCCGCCGCCGGACCGTCGCCGTCGCCGCCGCTTCCGGGGCCCGCGTTGTGGCCCGCGCCTTCGCCTGGTGCTGCCGCTCCGCCGCTCCCGAGGCCGCCCGCGCCATCGACATCCGTCGCTCCACCGCCGCCCGCTGCCGCTGCCGCCGCCGGACCGTCGCCGTCGCCGCCGCCTCCGGGGTATGCGCCGCTGTCGCCGTCGCCGCCGCTCCCGGACTGGTCGTCCTCATTCATTGAGGCCGAGCAGTCCCCGCCGCAACCGCACCAAGACCGGCGGACCAGACAGTCGGCGACCGCACCGGGGTACGCACCTCTCACGCCCCATTCTTCAAGACTGCTAGGCGAGGGGGGAGATCCGCGGGTCCGAGGACGCACGAGAGCGGAAGCGCGCACCATCGCCCAGCAACAGCATTCTGCCCTACCGGTGGACCGGCAGCTCCCATCACTGCAGGACGATGCCATCACCACGCCTCTCCCTCCGACCGAGATCACCATGGGGCTGCTGGCTCAAGCAAACGAAGACGTCCTCCTCTCCATGCTGGATGCTCGGTGAGTCATGAACGGTAAGACAATGCTCCGGCCAGGATTGGAGGGGGGCGGCGAGAGGGAGGGCGGAGGCGAGCAGCTCGCGAGGAGTGAGGGCGTGGGAGAGAGCACGAAAAAGTTGACGGAGGTGGACACCGGCGAGGAGGGACGCATGGGAAATGGTTTTCGTTCGGTCCGCCTGAGCGGGGCGTTCCGCTCGGACTTGCGGCGCGTCTTGCGATGCGCGACGACGTCGACTCAGCTGTACGCGAGATGGAGCCGCCTCTCTTGCGACCCGACATGCCGCGCTGCCACGCNTAAGACAATGCTCCGGCCAGGATTGGAGGGGGGCGGCGAGAGGGAGGGCGGAGGCGAGCAGCTCGCGAGGAGTGAGGGCGTGGGAGAGAGCACGAAAAAGTTGACGGAGGTGGACACCGGCGAGGAGGGACGCATGGGAAATGGTTTTCGTTCGGTCCGCCTGAGCGGGGCGTTCCGCTCGGACTTGCGGCGCGTCTTGCGATGCGCGACGACGTCGACTCAGCTGTACGCGAGATGGAGCCGCCTCTCTTGCGACCCGACATGCCGCGCTGCCACGCCAAGGACCTCCGAGTACCCCAGACTTTCAAAGAAGCAAAGCAGAGCGAACAGCGAGCAGTTCATGGATGCGGCCAAGCGTGAGGTGTTTGGAATGCTAGAAGCAGACGCGTTTGAGATTGTTGGACCGTAGCAGCGATCAAAGTTGATTTTTGATTGGAAGGTAGATGCGTTCGGCTTTCCTACGAAGGCCAAGGCTAGACTTGTTGCGAGAGGAGACATGCAGAAGGAGTACATTGACTGTGGTGATTTGTATACACCTACTGTAGCTTCATCTAGTGTTCGTATGTTGGCAGCTTTGGCGTGTGAGCTTGACTTGGAGTTGTGTCTCTTCGATATCGACCAGGCGTTTGTGAGGGCCCCTCTCAAGGAAGACATTTTCATGCGACTGCCGGAAGGATGTGGTGCGTTGTCGGGGAAGATAGTGCAGTTGAACAAGAGTCTTTTTGGCTTGATCCAGACATCTAGGGAGTGGTACGCGTTACTGAAGAAGTGCCTTTTGGCTTTGGGGTTCGAGCAGTGCATGGCTGATTCGAGTGTTTTTCGTTTTGTCGAAGGGAGGGAAGTAGTGTTGCTGCTCGTAGTACACGTAGACGATATTTTTGCAGTGGGGACGAAGGAGAGGTGTGATCAATTCGGGAAGGACCTGGGAGAGTACGTGCCAGTGAAATCTCTAGGGGAGTTGAAGTAGTGCTCCGGTTGCTATTACGGGAGGGACAGAGAGGCAGGCAGGCTGACGAGTTCACAGCAGACAAACACCGAAGAGTTGGGAGAGATATATGGTGTCGAGTGGGTTGGGACTTCGACTTGGACGAGCCGAGCGTAGAGTACCCTTTTCGCGCGCTGGTTGGTTCGCTGTTGTTGTGGATTGCCTTGTTGACTAGGCCGGATATGGCAAATTCGGTGAGAGCAGTGTTGAGGTACTGTAGTGCACCGAAGTTGATCCACTGGAAGGATATGTAGCTAGGACTAACTCTTTGGGGATTTCTTTTCAGAGGGGGACAGTTTCGGGATTTTCTTTGAGTTTGTCGACGCGGATTACGCTTCACGTGCGGCAGACCGTAGGTCGGTTTCGGGAGGGGTAGTGATGTGTGCAGGAGGGGCGATTGCATGGTTCTCCAAGACTCAGAAGTGTGTGACTTTGTCTACCACGCAGGCAGAATACGTGGCGATGGCGGACATGGGGAAGGAGATTTTGTTTTTTAGGCAGATTTGGCGTTTGATATTGCCTAAGGAGTTGCGGCCGTGCATTCCCCTGTATGAGGATAACGAAGGGGCTATCCAGATAGCAAAACACCCGATCTCGAATTCCAACTCGAAGCACATCGACGTGCGGCCTCACTTCCTCAGGCAGCTCGTAGATGAGAAGGAGGTAGAGATCATCCACGTAGCCTCGAAGTATCAGCATGCCGCCTTCCTCACGAAGGCGCAACCTGAGAGAGAGTTTGTTTCCCACCGGGACGTGATGAACTTGAAGTGAACAGTCCGGGACATCCTGTTCGTTGTTGAGTCTTGTGTGTTTAGTTTTTTTAATGTTTGGTTTTTGTGTTGATTTGTTTGATATTCTGAGAAATCGAGTTCATGATTGGCCGGTGGAAATGGTCGCAAGTATTTCTGGTTTAATGTTTGGCAATTATGCAAACCGATAGGAATTCTAACGATTGTTTCTGGTTCAAGGGTTTTTAGTGTTGTGACAAGAATGCAGTTTGAGATGAAGGGAATGTCTTGCACGAAATTTTGTTTCGGTCAGGTATGTGGTATGTATGGGAGGATAATAAGGATAGTATATTAATGTCCGGGTGTGGTCTTTTCAATGCAGCGAGTAGGGGGGCTGTTAGAATTACTCACAGCATCGACAGATTGTTGCAAGCAAGAAATTTCCGAGCAGATGGAGCGGGGAGTTCGGGGGTTCAGCAGTTGCTTTGGATTAGATTTGGTGGTTCCAACTTTGCCGCATATTGCAGGATTGAGGGTGGGGGAATGAATGTGTCTACAACGGATATGGTGATTGTGTGTTGTGGCTTCTCACTTGTTTTTCTTTCCTCTTTTTCCTCCTTCCTGTGTGCAATCAAGTCCTTTTCCCCCGGCTAACACGCTACCACGGCTATCACGCCACGACTTCCACGCCAATCCTGGCTANAATGAATGTGTCTACAACGGATATGGTGATTGTGTGTTGTGGCTTCTCACTTGTTTTTCTTTCCTCTTTTTCCTCCTTCCTGTGTGCAATCAAGTCCTTTTCCCCCGGCTAACACGCTACCACGGCTATCACGCCACGACTTCCACGCCAATCCTGGCTATCACGCCACCCGGCTATCACGCCACCCGACATCCACGTCCTTACTTATACCTTTACACCACGACCATCACGTCACCAGGCTTCCACGCCACATCCAGAGATACCATACCCGAGCTATCACGCTCCATTCCAAAGTAGTCTAGAAGGCTGTCACGCCCATCATAGTTCCTGCACTGTACCGTTGGCGGCTACCGCGCCGCTGGCTCTTTCATTTCCCAACCAAGGGACACCGCGCGTCAAGGCACCGACGCACAAAGCTAATCAACACATGTGTACCAGCGGTTGCACTTGTACAAAGCGCGTGGTGGCCGATGCTGGAGGCGACGAGAGGGCGAGAAAGAGAGAGAGTGCGGACGGAGAGTCAGCGACAGATAGACCAATCAGCGTCCAGAACCAAAAATAGAACCACAGATGTTGCCCTTCGGCGTTACTTGTCGGCGAAATCACACTAAGACGACAGAAATCAGAGCGAGTGATGCCTCTCCGTGGTTGCTTCGCAACGCTAGGCAAAGCACCGCGGCAAGCACTGCCGGAGTGTCCGGAAAATATCGGGTCCCCCCTACACCTTAAACCGCGCGATGGCGCCTATATTCACCAGTTCTAATAACAATGTGAGTGTCGAATTATCAGACAAAAGGGAGTGACGGAAGTCGCGAATGATCGGATAGCCCCCACACAGTGTGCACCCGTTGTACTCCCGTCATTCGCCCCTGCCGGAAGTACATTCTTGGGAACCGGAAGCCACACGGTGTCAGTGCAAGCACCCCACAAACGAACAAACCCAGTCTCAAGAGGTCTCGCAGTCAATGTGTCGCTGGCGTACATTCCCGAGCGTCCTCACGCCTGTGCATGCACGTACAACAGTAGGACCGATGGCCCCTGCTTCCGTGGTAGACCATGGACCATCAACCTTAGTTGGAAGCTTCACAACCACCCAAGCCTTTTTGAGCTGAACTCTGGCGGCGAGAGACGTTATCCCATGGGCCACTGTAGACATGCCACTCGGCCTTCCGAACTTTGATCCCGGTCGGTGCATTCTGCGGTATCCTTGGCTGCGTTGTCGGTGTTCAATCATCTCGGCGTACGTACATACACAAACCGAACTTCCCGCCGTTCGCGTCGATTTGTTGTACTTGGGCGGGATCTTGTTCTCATCAAATTGAAAGTTCTTCTGCAATTCACGTTCAGAGAGTATGGCACCTGCTTCTTAATTGAGGTACAGTAACTTCGTGATCTGTAGCCCGAACAACGCCAAATGTCACCATTTTCAGGTCCAACTGCTGTACAACAGAAACGTTTCAAAAACATTCGCCGCTTTGATGTTGTTTGGTTCACTGCCCGTTCCATGGTATCACCTGCTTCATGGACTTTGTTTTTCCTTTGCCTGTGAACACCTAAGAGTACACCTGCTTCCTGATGGACTGATCTGAGGGATGATCGTGGCACTACTTTTTAACGTTTCAGTCATCACCTTACGCAGGTGCAACGATCTCATGGTCTGACCGGCACAATGTAACACCTTTTCAAAGCTTGCGCTTGATAGTGTCTTAGTTATTGTTCTATTTCCTCCTTTGGACCCTCACGAACAATCTCGCTCTACCCATTATTTCACCCGCATTAGCATGGGTTCCTTCTTTTTCTGCACATCTAAGGATGGAGAGGACACGGTCGTTGTAACGAGCAGCAAGGGGTCATGGTGGGGGGGTGCAGCTAAAGTTGACCGAAATTTACGCAGCAAAAATGTCGACCGACAGAAAAGAAACCAAACCGGGAGGTTCGACGCTTTCTTGTGACGGCGCGAGTGGACTTCGTGGTTTTTTCTACTCCGAAGTTATTTTTCTTTGCCCTCACCAACAGATGAGAGGTTATTGCACTCTTCAGTATTTTGCGTGAGCGGTCCTTGTGGGTGTTCGGGCATGGCTGCACGCAGCTGCAGCAAGCCTGCGTCGGAATAGATGCGGGGAAAGCGTTGATGAATGATTGCTGGTTCAGTCTGCCTCCGGCTGGCTGAAGTGCCGCTGAATGCGCCCTCGGTACGTGAAGTGAAGTGATGCATAGCCTACATCTCTCTACCCTATCAAGCTGCCTATCAACAGGTTACATTGCTGGACAGCGTATATCTCTCGTGTGGTAGGCCAATAGTCGAACTCTCGACGAATCAACGTGCCTCGCACCAACACGCAGCACTCGGCCATTGAAATGGCATTCCCTCATCAAACGTCAAGCTCGAGCATTCCACCGTGATACACGATTCTGGTGAAGGATGAGAGGTGACGCCCATCAGTTGAGTTGAAAGTATTTCCATGCTTTCGCTGGTTGAATCCACGAATGAATCCTGGTGTATGATTTTGAACAACTACAATGATACCACCTCGTCACCCGCCCACGTTGTTCACCCAGCACCGCACCTCGTGCTACGGCAGCTGCAAAAGGCACGTCGCGCTGGTGGCACTTCTTGCGGCGGGGGCAGCAAACGGTAAGAGAGTAACCTCTTGTCCACACCCCAAAGACGTACATTGATGGCTGCAAGTTGTGTATTGCTGGCGAGCGGTGATGATGTGTTGTCAATGAGACATGAGAGGAATGGACACCGGAATCTTTCGGGTTTCGACACCTGCTGGAAACGCTACCGTCGTTTCATCCGATTTTCAACAGCTTGATCGACCAAGTACGACGTACGTTGTCAAAGTTTACTGCGTTGACGTCGTGGTGCATATTTCTCTACCCCATGGGAGGTGGGCATCAGTACCTACTCCGGACCGTTCGCCGATTGAGTGACTTCGTCCGCCGCGGTCAAGCGCGCAACGGTGAATATCGCTCTCCCCAGGCGCAGCATGCACCAACCCGGGTCGTCCGGAAAATATATTTCCGCTTCAAACGAAAGAGCTTATCACCTCGGTTGCTGACGCCCAACCAACAATTATCCTCCCTTTCAGGTATTAACACTTGCGTGGATTCCACTTCTAGCGGAAGGCAGTTCAAGTGCGGGGCGGACGTGACTACCATGTGAGCGCTCGACGTTGCCAAAATTCTCTGGCTCTTCTCGTCGGTTGTGGCGGACAAACATTCATGCCGCCGAGGGGGATCTCCGACCCATATCAGAGTCCGGATTAGCTGGCTCACGACCTAAGCGGTGCGCTAGTCTCGGCAATAACGGTTTCACTCGGAGGTCATCGTACCATTCCGAGCTTCCGCTGGGTCGTACTCGAGTCAGTTGCTGACGTCGTCGAAGCAGTTGCTTGTGCACGCTGGAAAGTATGAGCCTCTCGGCCACGGCGCGATTTCCCGGGTGTGATGCCTGGAGCCTTCAGCACGAGATCGTTCGTGGGTACCGAACGGCCCAACAATATGAAAAACGGCTCAGCCTTTCTACACGTACGGGTGGACGGTGTAGATCTGCAGATCTTGTCTCCGTGATACAAGGTACAAGTGGAGTAATTCTAGAGAAGAACCCCCCGAGTCGTTCCCGCAACTTCAAGCAACGCGTTGAAGACGCTTGGCATGGAGGTACAGTTTTGGGGATTGAATATTATTTCCGCCGCCAGGAAAAGCTCTCTTCTTCAACTATCTCTCCCTCGGCAGTAACCTCTCCAGCTGTGGACTAACTGACGCCGACAGCGTGGACATCGGTTCGTGCTTCGACAATGCTGGCAGAGACTCGATCAAAATAATGTAAGTGAAACCTGCGCTGCCGGGATGATATTGGATATTCTGTGGCGAAAGTTGTGTCGTGCTTGACAGGAGCAGCCACGAAGGAAAAGCACAGATCGAAAAGAGAGTAGGAAGCAGAGCTATCGACCCTCTGCGCGAGGCAAAGCGGCTGTGAACGCCGTTCTGGTGAAGAGCGTTTCGACCTTAATGTGGCGATGCCAGCAGCCCCCGGGTAGGAATAAAAGCCCCTATACTCTGATACTTGGTGAACGGGTGAAGGTTATGACCTTGCATAGGCAATGAATATATCGGGCACCCACCATCCACAGCTGGCCTTGAACCCTGTGACCGATATTGCAGAAAATGAAATATAGTCTCAAGCGTGATCCCAAGCCGTTTTGCGTGCTTTCTTCGCCGTCACGCTCGCTTTTCTCTCGTCGCTTGTCGCTCACCATTGCAGATACCTGACAGATAACTCTCTGACAACCTTACCAGCTGACTTGTTCGAGGACCTTGGAGCGCTGGAGGCC